CCTGTACTGTATACTGTGAATTAATTAAAAGGTTTATGTTAGGAAAAGGAGGGGCACCATGCAATGGACTTTACGTCCAGTTTGTGCCTTGTCCGTTTGAGTACAGCTCTTTAATTGTATGTTAGATAAATAATTGTTGAATTAATTTGTACTCAATAAAGTTTAACAAACATACCTCCGTCACCATCATCACTGCTTCATTCTTCTATTATTCAGTACCCTGCAAACTAATTTATTTCCAACTTCAGCTGATCACTGAATGGAATGGAGGAGCAAAGAAATGTTTTGCAAACCTGGTAAACAAGATGCCAGACAATGCCAAGATATTGTTAGATCGCTGTGTCGTCAAGAGCGATGATAAACCTCAATCGCTTGACTATCAAATAACATACGATTTTTTCTTGCTGGAGCCAACAGGTATGTTTTTGTAATGAATTAATTATTTATTTATTTAACCACGTTATGTTTAGAAGCACGTAAATAGTTTGTGCATAGCCGTGTATCTGACAAACTATCTTTTTAATTTAGGCTTCGAAATGTTCCTTAGTAATTTTTTTACCTGTTCATGGTTTCATGTTGTGTATTTTGTCACCTGTCTTTTCCATTATTCAAGGTTCCAAGCCACCCATGTTTGATGGCCTCCAAGCGATCATTGATAACAACGACGAACAATGTTTGACTCACAAACTCTGCAAGAAATATTTCAGCGTTAAATGGCGAGAAAAAGAATGTTATTTATATCTGGCATATCTTTTTATCTATCTTTGTTTTCATGTTTTGTTTAATGTTCGTGTTGCGTTGGTTTGTCGGTGCTATAACACGTCAGATGCAGAGTCAGAGAGTAAGTCGTTGGGTCCATTGGAGTATGTTTTGTTTTGTATTTAACAATCATTGAATTTAGTTTTCCCACGATATGAAGAATTATGAAGAAGTTCGGTTCTTAAGACTGAGTTTGATAACACAAACTGTGGGCTTGATAATTATTCATATCATGCGAAAACCAAATTCAGTAATTGTTTTATTATCTATTTAAAAGATGAAATGATCAATTTGTTTCAGTTTCAGTAAATAACTATTTAATTTAATGTATTTTATGAAAATATTTTCTCTGAAAAAGATCCAAGCTTACGGATCGAATGCTTTGTTAAATAAATCTCAATGTTTTCCAAAAAACAAAACTATTGTCGTTTAACTTTCTAGATACAACATCCAACAATGTTACTATGTTAAACAATTTTACCATGTTAAACAATGTTACCATGTTAAACAATGTTACCATGTTAAACAATGTTACCATGTTAAACAATGATACCATGGTAACAAGCTCAAACTACGTCAAACCTGACCAGGCAAGACTTATTACAACAACAGTCATCGTCATTGTAATATCGTTCATCATTCTCAAAGAATTATTTCAGGTATACCAAGTTATTGATACTTTTAATTTTTTGTGTGGTAGATCATCTGGCATTAGACAGATTGCCATCTTTATTACCACTATCATATCATTATAATTATCATCATCATCATCATCATCATTATCATCGTCATCGTCATCATCGTCATCATCGTCATCATCATCATCGTCATCATCATCATCGTCGTCATCGTCATCATCATCATCATCGTCATCGTCATCATCATCGTCATCATCATCGTCATCATCGTCATCATCATCATCATCATCATCATCACCATCATCATTACCATCATCGTCACCATCATCAATATTCATTATCACCACCAACGTCACCAGTAGCATCATATAGAGCTACTGATAAGCATTTTTAACAAAATATTTAATTTACATAGTTTGCTTGACGATTCTCTAACTTCATTCCAGATGCATATCCAACGTTGGAGATATTTCAAACAAGTTTCAAATTATTTCAAGTGGACGTTGCATGTTTGTGTGCTGTACTTTGTGTTCCCAGTGGAGAACAAAAGAACTAAACGTCAGATTGTGTCAGCTATCATAGCCATCTGTATATCCTGGTTTAATCTCATCTGGTTCTTGAGACGAGTTCCTGATATTGGCACTTACATTTTGACTTTGCAGAAAGTCTTTATAACGCTGGTCAAGGTGAATGCGGTGGCTACTGGCTAATGACTAATAAAGCTCTACCAGTTCTAAGCTGTTCTCTCTACCAATATCACCATGATCAAGTAGTTTTCCGTTTGCCTGATGTGGATATAACTTAAAGAACATCACCCAAATTTTACACATTTAACAATCTCACAACTTGTCAACAAGATGTGTTCACAACGGGCTTGTAGCAAGTTGTAACAACGCTGTTATTTTATGAGGTTGCTACAAAGATTGTCGCAATTTATTGACATATTGTTGAATTGCAGGACGATAACAAATTGTTGGAAGAACTTGTAACAAGTTTGTTGATTTCAACAACCTTGTAGCAAGTTGTCAACAAGCCGTTGCCAACTTGTCAACAAGCTGGGAATAGTACAGTCTAGAAAATCCATAGTTTAACAATAGATCCTTTTCATTTTCAGATGCTTTCGCTCATCGTGTTATTCTGTATGGCATTTGCATCAATATTTTATCTCCTGTTTGTAAAGGAAAGTAGATTCGCAAACTTCCCGATTGCAATTATAAGCACATTCGTGGCAATGTTGGGAGATTTCAGCTACGATCATTTGTTTGTCGAAGGTGGTCATGAACATTTTCATGATTTTAAACTTGTTATGTTCATCGTGTTTATTCTACTTATGGTGGTCCTTGTGAACAACGTCTTGATTGGCCTGGCTGTTGGCGACACTGATCGTGTCATGAGTATGGCTAAAGTGCAAAGATTGAGACAGCAGGTAAGTTGGGAAAGACCTGAAGGTCTAGCTTGTATAGTTAAGATAAATTAACCTGACTTCATTTATACTGGATAGCTCTATAAGCTGTATTGCCTTCTCTTAGAAAATGTCAGTAACGATATTCCTTACCCGTTCAGTGTCACTGAAGGATAAAACATAAACTAAACTGACTTTATTGATACTGGACAGCTTTAATTGTTATAAACTGTTCTCCCTGGACGTCCAAACAGGAGGAAACCTTAGCTAAACTAATATTATTAGAGTTCTAGTACACACGTAAAAACAGCAAACTTGTAGGAATGCTGTTTGAACGACTTGTCAACAGGATGTGTTCGCACTGCTAGTTCCTAGCTTGTTAACAAGTTGTTAATGGCTTGTTGACAACTTGCTACAAGGTTATTGAGCTCAACAGATTTGTTACAAGTTGTTTCAACAACTTGTTATCGTCCTGCAATTTGTCAATTTGTCAACAAGTTGTGAGTGACAAGCTTGCATGACAAGTGTGTTCCGCTCGCTCACCTATAACCCCTCTAAAACAAGGCGGCACTGTAGTGATCTGTAAAGTACTATTTGAAATATAAATGCTGTCTTTTAGATGAAATTTATAATGGAAGTTGAATCATCACTGTTTAGTAAACTAGCATGCTTCAAAAGAAAGAAAGATACGACGCACACAGAGTATCCTAACCACAAGAAATCGTGGGCGGACAGTTTCAACCGACTTTTGGCTGGTGAAATAAACACGTTTTATAACGAAGATGATGAAGGTGATGATGAAGGTGTCGATGATGTTCTGACACTGCATAAAATTGAGGAGATGATGCAAACGAGGCTGGAGAATTATCATAAGAAAATGATGCAAGACTGTTGAAAGATTTTTGTTCGGTGAAGAAATTGGGGGAGATCAATTGAACAATCTTTTGTATTTATTTTGATCGCTGTAGTTGAAACGATCAAAACTTGCGCATATATACGTATACACACAGGACATCGGGTGTCATAATGATTTTAAGGTTAAAAAAAAAAATTGAAATCTTAAGCAAGATAGTATTTGAACGTTTTTGAAATGCTTTAGTTTCTTAGCAAAGTTTGTTTGTGTTTTCTTCCTAATTTAAAGGATTGTTCAATCAGTTCGTCTGGTGTTATACTAGTTTAAATTTTGCCTCCGTGTTGTTCTGTTGTTAAAAAAGCAAAAATGGTAAGCCTACTTTTCTGAGTTAAGAATCTTACGGAAAGTTGGGTGGCATAATAAAGTTTAATATATAGTAGAGAGTGAGATACTGAAAATATACAGCGAGATATTTTCCAGTGAAGATATCGATCACGTGACAATTTGAAAATTTGCTTTTGAGCGTGAAATTTCACAATTTTTTGCTTGGGACTATGTAATAAACAGAACATTACACGGTGGCTTGAGGATATGACTTTTATTTTCTCGTGTTAAAAACAATATTTTACTCACTCGCTGCGCTCGTTCGTGAAATATTGTTTTCACCACTCGAAGATAAAAGTCATATCTTCGCGCCGCCGTGTAATATCCTCTATATATCTACTTCCACGGCACATCGTATTTTGAGGACAACTGTCGAGTGGCTGTTCGAAGTTTGGACAATTTGACTGTGCACTAAAATTGAAACATAAATTAGCTACTGAGCTGTCAAAAACCTGTAGAACTTACTTTGAAATGCAATTTGAAGTTTACAGTTATATATAGCTGTCTATGTCGGAAAATGTGCTTATATATAAGAAACATGGATAGACCACTGCATGGAATCCTTGTTCAATAACCCTCTCTTGAAGTCTGAAAAAGCATCTATATGGTCATAAGTCTATTAATTAATAAGGTAGGTTTTTATCTATCGTACGACTTATTTTTTGAGGAAATAAAACGTGGTTCGTCTGAGAATAAGTTTGTGTGTGAATGTTATAAACAAGACGGATCACATGCAGTTATAAGACGGATTTATTCGCTCAAACAATCGTGCGTGATGTTGGTTAATCAGTTCTGTTCTTTAATTACCATCCATTTATGTGAATAAACACAGGCATATACGTGTTTATACAGTGGTTTAAATTGGTCTCGTTTTCATGTTTTCCTATTTCAGCATGATGCACATGACGTGTTTCTTTGAAGTTGCGTGACTTACACATTTAGGCGTCATGGATGAGCCTACTGGAACTCATTTACTAGAAATGAGGAATTTGAAAGGAGAGATGTCCATCAATAATAATCCTAGCTTCAAGTCTAAAAAAAGTATGCTCATAAGTCCATTAATAAGGTAAGTTTTGAATCGTAATGGTGAACAATGTCATATAGCTTTCTTATTAAACAAATTCAGTAAGTTACTTATTTGCACAAATGAAAAATATTTCGTCTAATAAGTTTGTGTATGGATCCGGTAACAAGACGGGTCATTCGAGACACAGAGTTTAAATGGGGTCAAAGTATTTCATTGATTTTTATGTCAACTCCAGGGCTGTTCGACGTGGTCTTCGTATGACAGAGAAATATCTGAACGAACAGAAAGATGTTGAGAAACTGAAAATCACCGACACAGATATAAGTGGAAGGAATATCTTTCATCTCAGTGTTCAGAGAGAGGAATTGCTTGAGTTTGTGTTGGAGACGTTTGAAAAGGTTTGATTTTGAACTGCGATCACATTGGATCAGAATCGTATGCAAATTTGGGAGCCATAGTAAATCAGCCTGGCATTATTTTGACATACGAGTCTTCGTTTTATAGCATGATCACCTGATCCAAGCGCTCCACAGCGAAGACGTGAATGGTTATACTCCTGCTCATATTGCTGTCTTACATAATGAAAGAAAGGTAGCAAAGTATCGACGTCTTTCATAGCTCAGGAAACATGGCTAGGAAATAATATTTCTTGGTTTTCCCAGGTTTTCGAGTGTCCTTCAGGACAGGGAAATGCGATTGCAAAATGTTTGGGAAACAATACATGACTTAGAAACAATGTTTCTTCAGGGGGTTTTTTCCGGGCTTAATCCCGCCTTAACTGTTTTTATCCAATTTGAAGTTTCAATATAATTTTAGAGCATGCACATACTGGCTGGAGTGGACAAGAAGATCTACACTATTCGCAGTACAAAGACAGGGCAGACATTAATCCATTCCGCAGTGAAGTCGTGTAATCCTTACATTGTACAAGATATCTTAGAAGCAAGACCTGATGCTTTGTACGACAAAGACAACGATGGAAAACCTCCACAGCATTACGCTGCCGCGTTAGAGGAGTGCTTCTTGTTGGAATTCCTTCTCTCGCACGGAGCTGATATTTTTGAGACGTGAGTACTTGATGTAGCCGCCGGAAGTTGAACAATGTATATTGTCTATTGAGACGTGAGCATTTGATATAGCATGGATAATGATAGTCACCGGAACAATGTATTTGCAGTTACGAAGTAAGCCAAGGCAACTGGTCATGCTCTGCTAATTAACCTGCGTCTTAGCATGACTTGTTGCTAATTTGCAACGGCTAGCTCGGCACCAGAGGCTCGGCGCTGTGTATTTGTCTATTATCTGTCTAGTCTATCTCTCATTATTTACAGTCTATTTTATCGTCACTACACTGCATTTATCAGCGTGGATATTTCTTTTTTTTTGTAGCGACAAGAATAATTCCACACCATTCCACATGGCGGCGGACGCTGGCTCGTTATCAAATGTCAAACTGCTGTTTCACGAGGACGAAGATCTCTTGAGAGCAGAAGATAACCAAGGAAGAACAGCTCTACACATTGCTTGCATGAATGGCTGCAGAAATATTGTGTCCTTTCTTCTTGAGAATGGCGCAGACCCACTGGTGAAGATGGAAGGTGGACTGAATTGTTTGGCGGTGGCTGTGATGAACAAACAGGATGACGTAGTGAAGGAGTTGTTGCTTAGCGACCACTGGAAAGATGTGAGTGGAATGTACAGTTTTCTTCTTATCATCACCACCATCATCACCAATACGATCAACCCAACCATCATCATTATCACCACCTTTACCATTATCATCACTACACCATCACTACCACCATTGCTACCACCATCACAACCACCACCATCATCACCACCATCATCGCTACCATCATCACTAACACTACCATCACCACCATCATCATCACCACCATCATCATCACCACCATCATCATCATCACCACCACCACCATCATCATCACCATCATCATCACTACTACTACCATCAACATCATTACCACCATCACTACTACCATCACTATCACCACTTCTTCATTCTTCTATTATTCAGTACCCTGCAAACTAATTTATTTCTCACTTCAGCTGATCACTGAATGGAATGGAGGAGCAAAAAGAGGTTTTGCACACCTGGTAAACAAGATGCCAGACAATGCCAAGATATTGTTAGATCGCTGTGTCGTCAAGAGCGACGATAAACCTCAATCGCTTGACTATCATATAACATACGATTTCTTCTTGCTGGAGCCAACAGGTATGTTTTTGTAATGAATTAGTCAATAATTTATTTAACCACGTTATGCTTAGAAGCACGTAAATAGTTTGTGCATAGCTGTGTATCTGACAAACTATCTTTTTAATTCAGGCTTCGAAGTGTAATTCCTCAGTAATTTTTTTATCTGTTCATGGTTTCATGTTGTGTATATTGTCACCTGTCTTTTCCATTATTCAAGGTTCCAAACCACCCATGTTTGATGGCCTCCAAGCGATCATTGATAACAACGATGAACAATGTTTGACTCACAAACTCTGCAAGAAATATTTTAGCGTTAAATGGCGAGAAAAAGGATGTTATGTATATCTGGCAAATCTTTTGATCTATCTTTGTTTTCATGTTTTGTTTAATGTTTATGTTGCGTTGATTCGTAGTGCAATGGCATTTAGGTTGCTGAATGCTGCGAGTAAGTCATTGGATCCATTGGAAAGTATTTTCACTGATAAAGGCCCATTTACACTGCACAACTTTTGCCTAAAACTGTCACATGCAACCTGCTCACAACTCGAGTTGTAGTCTATAAATCAAGCGCACAACTCTCCTACAACAATTCGTAGTTGACTTGTATCCTTGATTTACACAGTACAACTCAAGTTGTAAGCAGGTTGCATGCGACAGTTTTAGGCAAAAGTTGTGCATGTGTAATCGGCCTTAAAGATCCGGGCTTATGGATCAAATGTTTTGTTAAATAAATCTCAATGTTTTCCAAAAAGGAAAACTATTGTCGTTTAATTTCCTAGACGCAGTAACAACCAATGCAACGACTTCTAACAACTCTGTTGTAAGACCTAACCAGCCCGGAGCTATTGTTGCAACAGCTCTCATTGTCATTTTAACATTGTTCAACATTTTCAAAGAATTGGTGCAGGTATAACTTATTATAATACGTTTAAGTTTTTCTTTGGCAGATCACCAGTAGCCTGATGTGGCATGCCATTAGACAGATCTCCATCTATATTACCACGATCATACCATCATAATTACCATTATTACCACCACATCATCATCATCATCACCACCATCACCACCACCATCATCATCATCACCACCATCATCACCTCGACCACCATCATCATCACTCCCACCCCCATCATCACCACCATCGCCATCAGCATCACCACCACCATCATCACCATTAATATTATCATCACCACCACCCATTATTATCATCATTATCATCACCACCACCATCATCACCAGTAGCCTCGTATAGAGCTACTGATAAGACGTTTTGACTAAATATTTTAAATGGTTAGCTTGACGATTATCTAACTTCTTTCCAGATGCATAGCCAACGTTGGAGATATTTTAAACAATTTTCAAATTATTTCGAGTGGACGTTGTATGTTTGTGTGCTGTACTTTATGTTCCCAGTGAGGAAAGCAAAAACTGAACGCCAGTTTGTGGCAGCTGCCATAGCCAACTGTATATCCTGGTTTAATCTCATCTGGTTCTTGAGACGAATTCCTGATATTGGCACTTACATTTTGACTTTGCAGAAAGTTTTTAAGACGCTGGTTAAGGTATATGGGTTTATATCAGGATTCTGGGCTACTCACACGATGAAATTACGTTATGAAGGTTTTTTTGCTGCTGCATGGAAATGTTCCAGTGTAACTTACATATATATCGATTCTTCCCAGAGGGCCTACAGTCTTGGTTTGCTCTAAAACAAAATAATTTACATTCGATCTTCTCCATCTACAGAAAATGGCCCTAAACCCTAAACCAGTCAATATAACTAATGGTACATGAGGTTTGCAGATAGAAGTTTCGAGTGTACATTTAATCATTTACTAGACCTAACTAGGAGCAGTTGCGAAGGAGTCGAGCCTGCGGTGCTACGAATCCGCTACAGTGCTCTAACCAACTTAGCTATAGAGGCCAGTTGTCGAGCTCTAACCTCTTTTTCATTTTCAGATGCTTTTACTGATCGTGCTATTCTGTATGGCATTTGCATCAACTTTTCATCTTTTGTTTGCGGAGCACAGTAGATTCGAAAACTTCCCGATTGCAGTTTTAAGCACATTTGTATCAATGTTGGGCGATTTCAATTATGATTCTTTGTTTCTCGAAGCTGGTTATTATAAAGATATTTATACTTTTAAACTTCTAATGTTTATAATGTTTGTTTTGCTGATGGTGGTCGTTGTGAACAACGTCTTGATTGGCTTGGCTGTTGGCGACACGACGTATGTCATGAGTATGGCTAAAGTGAAAAGATTGAGACAGCATGTAAGTTGGGAAAGATGTAAAGGTTTAGCTTCTTTAGTTAAACTACACACGCAAAAATCTCACATCTTGTAGCAAGTCTGCCAACAAGTCGTCAACAAGTTGTGTTCGCACTGCTTGTCCCAAGTTGTCAACAAGTTTGGGACAAGCTGTTAACAACTTGTAACAACCTTGTTGATGTTACCAGACTTGTTGCAAGATTGTTCCAACAAGTCCGATCGATACAGTCATGATATAGCAGTATTGTTGCAACCTTGTGTCATCAACCTTGTAACATTCTTGTTATATCATGACTGTATCAGACTTGTTAGAACAACCTTGCGACAAGTCTGATAATCAAGCTTGTTACAAGTTGTTAACAGCTTGTTCCAAACTTGTTACAACAACTGGGAACAAGCAGTGCGAAGACAACTTGTTGACACCTTGCCTGAACAGATTTGTAACAACTTGTCTGCAGATCTATAAACAACTTGTGCGTTTTTACATGTGTAACCTAACTTCATTTTGTTACTGAAGGATAAAAAATGTACTCAAACTAAATTTATTGATACTGGACAGCTCTAATTGTTATAAACTGTTCTCCATATATTTCCAGTTAAGGCCATATTTTATTGGTACAGTATTATACACAGGAGGAACCTTAGATAAACTAGTTTTATTTGAACTTAATAGTTCTATCAGTTCTAGACTGTTCTTCCCAGAGGTCTAGTAAGAGCCATCCCTCATTGATTCTAGAAAATCTTGAAACCTTTTTGTTACATTCAAACTAGAAGCATTCTTTTCATATGCGACTGAAGACGGTATTATAGTCAAAGCCAACTAAATAATAATCCTATTTTGTAGATGAAATTTATAATGGAAGTCGAATCATCACCATTTGCAAGACTACCATGCTTCAAAAGAAAGGAAGACACGATCGTCACAGAGTATCCTAACCACAAGAAATCATTCACGGACAATGTCAACCGATTTTTGGCTGGTGAAACGACCACGTTTTATAACGTTGATGAAGTTGATGATGAAGGTGGCGATGATGTTCTGACACAGGATAAAATTGAGGAAATGGTGCAAACGAGGTTGGAGAATTATCATAAGAAAATGATGCAAGAGTTGAAAGATTTTCATTCGGACATGGTGGAGAAATTGGAGGAGATGCAGGGGTCATCCTAGGACAGGTCTGAAACTTTGGAGCTATATATGAGAATTATATAGATATAAGTTAAGCATTCATACAGAAACAGTATTTATAGCCAAAACAAGATCAAACTTGGCTCTGAAAACCCAGGAAATGACCGTTCTGGGCTTGTAAAATTCAAGCATGCAACACCTTATGAGTTCATGCCTCACAAGTTCACAACTCTCTCACAGTTTCTTCTCCTTGGAGAGATAGTCGATTGACTAATCATAATGATCAGGCGTTACTATTGATCTAGTTGTAACACTTATTTGCGTGTCTATTGTCAAACTGTCATCAGAAATCTTGACGAAACTAGGTCGAGGCATGCTGAATAGACCCGTTTCCCCTTTTTTGAGTGAAATTTTGATCTAAACAAGTCTGGACAAAAATTTCATCACAGCTTGAAAGAGCATCACAATTCACAAAATTAGTGATATTCCGAAGTTTCGTTGCGAAATGTTGTAAAATGCGGATAATGTAGCCTTGCGATGTTTGCCGTTTTTCAGTCATTTTGAATTACAAATGGGAAATTGATAATCAGTTTGAAATTTCACTCATAAGGGGAAAGGTCTATTGTTGTCTTTATTTCAATCTCAAGACGCTCTGGACAAGAAACTAACTTAACTTTTGGTAGAATTGTTTTACATGCTTTTAGTGATCTAATGGAAATATTTTGTATTCACTTTGATAGCTGTAGTTAAAACGAACAAAACATGCAAGTTCATGTAAAACATGCTTGATGGGTGGTGGGGATACTAGCATACCAGTATAGTCGACTGACTCGATTATACAATGTCGTTTTTCTTGAGTGTTTTTGCCTTGGATTATTGTGGCATATTTTATACACATACGCATAGGAATCAGATATCATAATGCTTTTAAAACACTACAAAGTGTGTTGAATAATTCAATCAACGCCTCATTTTTCAATACACTTATTGCATTCGAAATTTCGACCACGCAAACCGACCGCGTATCACCCGCATCACCCGTGTCATCTGCATCCGCATCACTGATCCGCATCCTCAGTGCCCGCATATATAGCAAACAAACCTCGCGTGTGTCACGCGTGGAAAAAATTGAAATTTTTAACTAGCAAGATGGCCGCCAAACGTGGAGTGGTGTTAGAGTTAATATTTGGAATGCTTTAGTTTATGAGCAAAGTTTGTGTTTTCTTCCTGGTTTAAACTGTTCAGTCGGTTACTCTGATGTTATATTAGTTTGAATTTATCCTATTGAAGCGTGTTGTTCTGTTAAAAAGCAAAAATGGTAAGTCTAGTTTCCAGAGTTAAAATTGCTCTTTTGAATTTATACAAGTATTTTCTAATTCTAAATTTCAGTTTAAATGTTTAGTGTGTTTTTGATGATGTGTTAATACGTTATTGTTTTTTTCCCTTAGGCTCGGAATGCTGAAAAGGCAATGTAAGTGATGATAATATACGTATTGTAGATGTCTTTAATTGCTTTTAATTAGAGACATCTACATAATTTATGTTATAGATAGATTAATATAGGTGATGTGCAACCACTTCCATGGAATTCAAAGGACAAAGAGATTTTCGCCATGTTGGATGAATCGGATGATATGTGCATTCCAAACAAGCAATGTCATCCAACTTAGCGATCTGTGGCGGAGCTGAAAATGAAATTATTGACAGCAGTTTTTTGTCAATGGTCATCCGATGTTGATTATTTACTATATGCTGTAAAATTGGAACAAATTTTTTTTTCAATTTATCTTATTTCAACCACTTTAATTGGAGGCCTACATAGTTCATTGCATCCACACTGGTGATCTAATATGTTGTCCCTGGTTGATTAATTTCTTGTTGAAAAGTACAATATTCTGGCATTAGACAGAGTAAAATAAAACAAATTTAGGTATGTTTTGGCTTAACCCATTGAGCTGCATGCACCCTACTTATTTTTTTTTACTTGTCTAATGCCAGACAATTTTACTCATCAACAGGGAAGCTAGTCTGAGCTTAATGGGTTAACCAAGAAATCTGACAATATCTCTAGTTAACCCATTGAGCTGCATGCACCCCAGTGCGCGCTACCTTTTTTTTTACTTGTCTAACGCCAGACGATTTTACTTGTCAATGGGGAAGCTCTGCAGCTTAGTGGGTTAACGGCTGAATCATGTGATAACAATCAATCACAATTTTCAGGGCAATGATGTCCAGGTGGACAGCCATGCAAAAGGAAGAAGGCAAGGTCAAGGTGAGTCAATTGTTTGTTATAATGTAAAGAATGATTGTTTTATTGTTATTGTCTCTATCTTACGAGTACTTTACCATTCCACCTGTCAATAGGAAAGACGTCCCTACCTTGCTACAGAATGCTCGGACTTGTCAAAGGCAGAAAAATGGAGACGACAGGTATTTGGATTCCAGCATATTGTTAGTATATGTGAGGTTTTCTCTTGTACCCATGAACAAAAACTGTTACTTATATGTTACTACTACTAACTTCACGATGATGGGCTTTCATACAAAACGTTGAAGTTTCAGATAGCTGAATCACTCCATATCTGTAGCTTTTGTGTAATGTAACATGAATATGATCATTGTATTATAGATCATTGGCGAAGTGTCGAAGAAAGTTGCACAAATCCAGAATGGTAATTGAAATTACTATAGTTAAAATTAAAGTTTTTTTTGAAAAGCTTATACACATAGAATATAATATCTTCATTTCTGTTGCTACTTATCACTTCTAGCTGGTCTTGGTGAGTTTCGTATCCGAGATTTAAATGACGAGATCAACAAACTCTTGCGAGAGAAACGCCATTGGGAGGATAGAATATTGGAGCTTGGAGGACCAGATTATAAGGTACCAAATTATGAAAAATACATAATTATTATTTCAGTGTACGAAGGTGTAGTGTTATAAAGTTCTAAACTAAACCATGCTGTAAATATTTTTGGCACTGATAAATTGAAATGTTTTCTTTTCTTAAAATGTTTTCTCTGCCATGATACAAATTTTCTAGAGGATTGGTCCGAAAATGTTGGATCGTGAGGGCAAGGAAGTGCCAGGAAATAGAGGATACAAGTATGAAGTTTCATCTCTAGATTATTTAGAACAATACTATATTGAACAATCTACAATTTGACTCAAATATGTAGTGAGCATCTTGTATAGTTTTAATAAAAATTGTAATACTTTTGTTTCCCAGGTATTTTGGTGCTGCAAAAGATCTCCCGGGTGTAAGAGAACTTTTTGAACAAGAACGTAAGTCATCTGATGTGAAATAAACCTGAACGAAAGGCTGTTATAGATAGTTCTTACAATTCTCTTGTCTTTCCTCAGCACCTGCACCACCAAGAAAAACTCGAGGTGAACTAATGAAAAAGATTGATGCTGATTATTATGGATATAGAGACGAAGACGATGGTGTCCTAGTTCCACTAGAGAAAGATGCTCAGAAGGAAGGTACTCGACCCTTACTGTGCCTCTAGAAAGATTACAGTTTTCTAGAACTGGAAGAGTTTTTGATTTGTTAGAGCTATTTAGTACAAATCAAGTTAATTTAGATTAGATACAGTAATTCCTCCTATAGTAACACTGGATCAGTTGGAATGGAAAAATAAATTTTGGCAAATGAATATGATTGGTTGGTGAAAAGAATTGCTGCAAGATTGGGAAGGGTCCTCTTGACTTAATTATTGATCTATTACTTCCTCTTTAGCTTTAGCACAAGCGTTAGAAGATTATGAAAAACGTAAAGCAGCAGGGGAGATTCCCGAGGTCGAGGAAGAAGAAGATATATATGCCACTGCAACTGAAACTGTTGTATGTACCAGATAATGTGTACTGGTTAATATTATTTACTGTTGTGTTTTTCTTCATATACATATTTTAATTGATAATCTAGTGTTTGCCCATGAAATGGTAAGCATGTTGCCTTTTACCACTGAGGTGCTTTCTCTGTATTGACAGGATAGCGATGAAGACAATGAGGAACAAGATGAGGTCAACTTTGTCTCACATGTCCCTGTACCCTCACAAGAAGAGGTGAGTTACCCACGAACCATGAATGAACTCCCCCTCCAAGATTGAATTAAAATAGCAATTAAAACTTAACCTCTTACCTCATACAGGTGGAAGCTCTGCTGGTTCAGCGTAAGAAAATGGTAAGGGGCACTTTGTAATTTTTAATCACAAATAATGTAAAAATTTTACAAAACAACGAGGTATGGCAGTAACAAGAAATTAATTTGTTTTCATAGGAGCTTCTTGAAAAGTATGCAAGTGAAACTCTGATGCAACAAAGTCAAGATGCTAAAGCTTTACTGGGTTTACAGTAGGACTAAAGCTTTTCAGTAGGAATGATGTTTATGCATAACAGGTATCTGAAACATGACACAGACAACATCAAAAGTCAGGTTGGAAGAGATTTTCAAGCAGAATTTCAGTTTTGTCATGGAGGCAGGATAGACATCACTCATTCATTGGTGATCACAACAATCCAAACCGTTCTGTAAATACCAGAATTACATGCAAAACACCAATGACAGAATATAAGAACCATGGAAAATAGTGTTGAATGAACATTGTAAATGATCATTGGTAAAATACAATGTAAAAACAAATACAAATATTCTTTCAAAATATTTTTTTCTTTAAAGCAATATTACACAATTGACAACCACTGATAAAAATCAGTGCACAAAAGCAAGTATTCAATGTGATATTTAGTCATAACCATCATAGAATCTTGATAAAAAGTCTGTTTTTCTCTCAGGATAAGTTTCTTTGAAATATCTCATCACATGCGTTCTTTGTTTCCATATTTTGTGAGTTTCCTCAAGCTCCAAACGTCCCTTGAAGTAAAAATATAAAAATGGTGAAAGGTGCTATTTCTATATTGAAGGTAGCCAGTGCACTTATGAGAGGCATTCACCCCCTGAAAATATTAAAAATGGCAGACATTCAGGGGGGGGGGGTGAATACCTCTCAGAAGCACATTGGCCAGGAACATGTTTATCTGAACATTTTTCTTTCCAGCAATATTTTTGTTTTGTAAATATTTTAAAACACAGAATATTTCATACCTTAATCACCATCATATCTATAGATTTGATGTCCCTGAAATGAGCATTTTTTCGAAATTCTTCTTTGACTTTCTCTCGTCCTTGTCGTACCGTGATGTCCAGTGCGTAGGCATTCACAGCCCTGGGAACCTAGAATATGGTCATTTACATATTAGTATTGCAACAGAGATTTAGTATCATTTAAACTGCCCTGAATAATTGAATTCTTGCAATCTTAATCCCAATTCTAACCTTAATCCCAATCCTACGCTGATAATCTCGTATTTTGCAGATTACGATTTGCTTTAACATACTAGGAAATACATTTGTCTACATTTATTTCATATACAAAATTAGTACACGACACTAGACTGTATTAATTTTGTACAGACACGACATACTGCGTCCGAGAACTGGGCAATATACAAATATATTCAATATCATTCAATATTTTTGCTCACTCTATATTTGAAAATAAGCAGTACACAAGCTTTACAAAAACACATTTAAAACCACTTTCAATTACCTCTCTATACCAGGCACGATATAGATTTAAAACTCTTCGTCTCGCTTCAGCAGAGGACTGAGAAAGTAACGGTTTTGTTGCTGCACTTACTTTTGAAACGGACGCCATATTTGTTTTCCTTCCCCTGCCCGATGTTTTCACAGGTTTTGCAGGCCATGGTTAGATTAGGATTAGATTTATAGCTCAGTGGATTAGAGTCTCTGGATTAAAGTTTAGGATTGGTGTTAGGATTACAGTAAGCTTGGAGTGTGGATTTGATAAGGATTAGGGCAGGGTTAGGATTAGATTAGAATTAGATTAAGTTTTTACTAATTTTTGGCATTTTTGGTATTTTAAAAAGTTGCCTTTGGCTTCGAGTTGCGCAGCTGCAGTGATACTTTTCCCGCGCTTTTTACAACATGAGTGAATGTCCCTTTAAACACACTTTGTAAACACAAGTTTTTGTTGAAAAAAAACGTTCAATTTAGCTTGTTTTCGATTGTATTTCTTGTGTATATCATTATGCCTTGTATAGAAGAATGGTTATCGAATCCACTGCTGTTAGTCAACCAGAAAATCGGTAAGAATTTAAGTCTTAAATATTAAAATATACATTTGAAGTTGACGCGACCATGTGTATAGCACACTAGCAATAAAATGGTGGCTTAAACCATCTATATTCTATACGTAATGAAGTAGTTTTATATGGACTTGTGTTGGCTGTTGTTGTTTTTAGGAGTTGATGACGAGTGTCTGATACAGCAGGTCAAAGAATATTTTTCTGAGAGGGTCAAACACGATGGTATAAATAAAGTAAGGATAAATTTAAACCTGATAAAATCAAGTAATTTATAGAATTTGATACTCTGAGTGAGTCTGCACTAGGCTAGCTGAAAAATCCACATGAAACAATAGAAAATCCCATTGTTCTCCATAACATCCATTACGTTCCATTGTATTTTCACTGTTTTGAAAATACCACTGTTCCCCATGCCATCCAGTGATTCCCGTCACTTACATTGTTTTCACATAATTGTGACAATATTAAAATGTTTTCAGATTCAGTCTCTAAATGACAAAAGTCTTGACCATGTCAAACCAAATACTTTGGTGAGATTTCGATGTATGATTCAAGATATGTTTGAACCTGAGTATTACCTCTCAAGATATGAAACCATCAACACTGAGGATGGAACCAAGGTATCACAGTTTACTTCATTGATAATCATATATGTTACTATGCTAGTTTAGAATGGGTCATTCCAGAAAACATTTATACCTCCCTCACACAGCAAATTGGAAGTTAACCCCCTACCCCCTTCAGACATCCTAATACACTTACTATTATCAGACCCCCCTCCCCTTCGGATGACAGAAATTTCATCTGTGTGGGGAGGATGAATCTTTTCTAGAACGACCAGTATGTGTTCATCCATTGAGCTGCAATGTGCCGTAATGCTCCCTGTGGCCCTACATTGACATTTTACTCTGTCTTAAAGGCCAAATTCAGAGTTTATTCTTCAAGGAAGTGCTAATTGATTAATATTTTAGGAAGCAAATTTGGGTCTCTATCGTGATGTAGCCAGTTGTAAGGTAATAATGGTGCAATGCTATAAAAATTTCAAACTTTGTTCCTTTGCTGAGGTTGAGAACGATTGTAATAAATGTATGAATCATTGAATGAGGTGTACAGAAAATGCAGTACTGTGATACTTTTATAATACGGCATTGAAATTTGTTTTTAAATTTTATTTCAAAAGTCTGGAAGTGAGATAAACATGAATTCATCTCAAGATGTCACAAGAGAAAGACAATGTTTTTATTGCGTCCCAATTCCTGCTGAAACTACCTGGGCGAAGAAAATATCCTTTTATTTGAAAGTTCACATAAGGTCTAACAAAAATATGGTTCCAGTTTCCATAAGTCAAAAGAATTAGGTTGGGTTGGAAAAGAATATTTTTTGGAAATTTTTTTGTCTGATATTTTTCTTAATTATTCATAAGCTTATTCAAAAGCATCTGGCTCTATCAATTGTGATTCTGGGTCAACAAATGCAACAACTGCAGGCAGTCTTAAGCGAGGTCTGGATGAGTTGCAAGATACTTCAGATGTTGGTGAAGCTGAGAGCAGCATGATGGTAGAGTGTAGCAATAATGGAGGTGAATTTCCAGCAAACCAATTCACTATGGTCTGCCTAACACTGGACATTTTTAACACACTTGTGTTCGTAAGCCCTGGTGTGCCTCTCCTATAATCATCTCTATCAATAATTTTACTGTCCTCTTTAGCAGTCAGTTGACAACATAATTCCATGTGTAGTGGTCAAATGTAGGTATATTTGTTCTCCAATATAAGCTGCTGTTGTTTCACTTGTCTTGTCGATCAGAACTATACTTGAAAAAGATTCAAACGTCTGACTTTTGACGTCACATCACCAGTTGAGCATAATTCAGACAGCCACAGTTACTGATAGGAGAGGTAGGGTAGGGATCACTTTGCCCAGGCCATGAAATTTTTATGATCACAAAGAATATTGTTTATGGCTGGGGGCGCCTTGAGAAGGTTTTGCCCTGGGCCCTGCGCAACCTCTCGGCGACTTTGCAAACAGCGGCTCATTAGAGTTCATTAGTCATAAGAGCAGCTCAACACCAGGGTTAATAGGTTTGCCTGACAATATTCAGCAGAATACAATTGAGATGCTAATTTCATTACATCCATAGAGAGCAGTGAAAATAAGAAAACAAAATCGGAAACAAATCAAGGTATACTCATTTACTGTGTATTGTAAGAAAAATGATGTCTTTATCAATTTTTGTACAACTATTGCATGCGGGGGATTTCATTTGAGTAATGTATTCATGATATTCTACAGAAACTACCAGAAATGTTGCGGTTGGAAGCACAGATTTAAACTTCCCTTTGCCTGATGAGAAGGGTCCAGCTTGTATAGTGAAGGTAACTTATCGTTGGTTGTTTCAGAAGCCATCTAGATGTACTGCGTTTAACATATTTCCATGGGATTCTGTCATAGCTTGTACTGTTATATTCCTTATATAGATATACGATGAATCAGAAACTTACAAAGTTAATGACGTTGTTGAGTTTGTTGGTATCTTAAGTGTAGATCCACAACTTACGCAGTTTCAGAGGTAAAGCCTACTACTAATTAGGCAAAGCTCTGCATTATGGCGCAATCCTAGACGAAATTCAGAAAAAAATTAAATCCACTATACTTTTAAACGCAGTGATACCGTTTCCTCACCACTCGATGTCATGGAAGTTGAAGAAGATAGTCCTCATTTTCTTCCTTCCTCTGTTGTGCCTCGTATTCATGCAGTGATCAGCTTTAAACTGGAACACTCGAATCCTTGTCTGCCTTCCGATTTATCTGAGATTGGTACGTCGCAAGCTGTTTTGTAACTTATTAAACAGTGGTTTGCATTAACCGACTTTTGAAGTAAACTTCAGTGCTTAGATCGAAGTCATTAAAAGTGGTTTACTTCATGATATAAACCCAAACGATATGTACCAGCATAGGTATGGTACCAAAAACACCAGATATTCACACACATTCTGTATTGTTGCAGAAAGTCAGTTTTGTGACGTTGCTCATGTTCGAGAAGTGCTGTTAAAATTATTTGAAGATATGTTGTACGGGGATTGTTTTGCCGCTGAATATTTGTTATTTCATCTTCTCTCAACTGTGTAAGTCGATAATTGAACTGATCCCGCAAAATCTTGTATTATATTGTGTTTATCACCATGCAAGCACTACAACCTGCAGTTATTAGAGTGAGAAAATACTGTTAATTCTTTTATGTCATTCTAGATATTCTCGTCCTGATGTTTTGGCTCTGGGAAAATATACTCTTAATCTGATTGGATGTTCAAAAGATGTCGCCAAAGAAATTTATCAGATGGTTGAATTTCTTATTCCAAAGGTAACAGAGCCGTATGCAGGATTTTTCTACGTACATCATTGGGGACTAATTACTATCCATTTAGCGTATTTGACATGAATCTGTTTTATTTTGTAGTGTTGTAAGTTTCCAATGACTATTGACAATATGAACAAATCCAAACTTGTACCAAAGAAAGATTACAAAACCAACAGACTGATCTCAGGCAAACTTCAACTCAGTGACAGTAAGTTGGTAACCAATTTTGTTTTTACCCCGATAGCTCTATCGGTTCTAAACTGTTCTCACAAGGAGGACCATCCTGTACTGATCCAGTGTTACTACAGGAGGAAACAGGAGCACCCGAGGTAGTGCCAATAGGGATACAACTACGTGAAATGTACAAGGAGAACTTCGACGTTTCGAGCTAAGGCCCTTCGACGGGAAATTAGCAGCCCATGGTTTAGTAGGGTTACATTGAAAAGTACGTGTCACGTTTAGCGATACTATAGCATCCTCTTTTAAAGACCATTTTTGCTTTGTTTAAAAATTTTGCAGATACTCACATGGTAATAGATGAAACAGTTCTAGAGGAAGGACAGCTTGACAATAATGGTAAGAATAGGATCCAAATGGAATTTCCAAGTAAAAAGAAACAAAGTTTTTAATGAGAAAACGCTTTAAAGTTGTTTTGTCAATGTGTTTTCATTCTTGTTATAGGAGTTCAAAATATTGCCGCTATTAACCACATAATGTCATGGCAGAAACTGCAATATGATTTTGGATTTTATAAAACTGATTTTCTTACGAACGTGGTAGGTTTGGTAGCGTTAATGCTGAGCTAATGCTGGTAAATTATTGAAACAAAAAGGACATAAATATTCTTTCATCTTATTTGCGATCCACAAAATAATATTTATCGTATTTTGTGCGTTCATTTCCATAGGTGATACTTGTGCTCTCCGAAGGAAAGTCTGTGTTACAAGTAAGCATTTATCGATGTAACAACAGCAGCAGCAACAACAACGACAGGAACAACGACAACAACTGCAACAACACCAGCAGTGACAACAGCAACAATAGCAACGACAACACCAGCAATGACAACGGCAACAATAGCAACGACAACACTACCAACAACAACGACAACGACGACAACAACAACAACAACAACAACAACAACAACAACAACAACAGCAACAGCAACAGCAACAACAACACTAACAACACCAACACTAACAACACCAACACTAACAACAACGCCGCCGCCAACAACAACAACAACAACAACAACAGCAACAGCAACAACAACACTAACAACACCAACACTAACAACACCAACACTAACAACAACGCCAACAACAAGAACAACGACAACAACAGCAACAACAACAACAACAACAACAACAACAACACTAACAACAACGCCAACAACAACGACAACAACAACAACAGCAACAGCAACAACAACAACACTAACAACACCAACACTAACAACACCATCACTAACAACAACTCCAACAACAACAACAGCAACAGCAACAACAACAACGGCAGCAACAACAACAACAACAGCAACAACAACACCAACAACAACAACACTAACAACACCAACACTAACAACACCAACACTAACAACACCAACACTAACAACAACTCCAACAACAACAACAACAACAACAGCAGCAACAGCAACAGCAACAACAACACTAACAACACCAACACTAACAACACCAACACTAACAACAACGCCAGCAACAACAACAACACCAACAACAACACCAAGAACAATATCAACAACAACAGCAACCCCAGCAACAACAACACCAACATCAACAACAAAAATAATCTCATTTTTCCATCTAGGTAGATTCTCGTGTACAAATCAGCGTGAAGAGGCCTCCTGTTTCATTTGAGAGAGTTCTTCAAAATTTTGATGAAAATTTCGTAGACAATGTGAGGAAATACATTGGTCTAGCACACTTGATAAAATATGAAATAAGCGAAGATGTACAAAAGGTTGGTGATGTATGCATCTGTTATAATGCTTCTGACGTTTGTGTATTTTGAACATAGTTTCCTATTTTTCGGTAATCATAAATGGGGTTACTATACTCAGGTTCGAAAATGCATGTCTTTCTAACAGGTCTAGTAAGCCAGAACAGTTTAGAACTGATATAATAGAGCTATCCAGTATATAAACTTTTAGTTTGTATTCATTTGTAATCCATATATTTTTTATGTCTGATATATGACATATATGTTTTTAACAGTTTCATTTTACCGTCAAATAAAACCTAACAACGTAATGTTTCAATTACTAGTACATTGAGGACGATTTTGTACAAATGAGACAAGCGGACGCCAATGGAATTACGGTGGAGAAATTTCACTCTCTTCTAAGTCTTGTGAGGTACTGTAACTGTAAGTGGTTTCCTGGCTGAGAGAAGCCTCATTCAATAAACTGCTCACACCATTGCTGACAGACGGCTTGATGTTTTCTACTAAATTTTCTCTTTAGATTAATGGCCCTAAGTCACGGACGAAAACGTCTTCTCAAAGAAGATTGGATTCAAACTAAACAGATGGAAGAATTACGACAAAATGGATTGAGCCGCAGAAGCAACCCGTAATATAGGGATTATTTATGTGCTTCTTCTTCAAGAAATAAAAACTGATATTAGCAAATAATGTAATGATGACAACATTATGTTCATATTCTTGTTCACTATATAGGGCCAATTCTCTAAGAAATTAGGCCTCTTATATGGCGAAATATTTAGAGGGAACACTAAAGTAAGCCACTAGATTGCTTTCATAAAATATGACAATGCCGAGTTATACAATACTATTATAGTATACTGTAATGGGCCATTGCATTTTTTATCTGCAAT